CTGCCTCACTGTGAATTTTGTGCAGAGCTCTCATCACATAATCCATTTCCTTTCTTTATTGTCCTTTATATTTCCATTTAAGTGATATACTAACTGCTTCCCATAAAGCTGTCAAGAGAATGAAATGAGAGACCTCAGTCGAGGAGAGGCAGACCAGTGGAAGGGAAATAACTGGCTAGAAGTCAAGCATCATGGATCTCTGTCCAGATCTGATCTGTCACTAACTGATTATTTCAAACTGGACAAATCACTTTCCTTCTCCAGACTTCCATTTCCTCAACATAAAGTAGTGTTTTGATTTCAACGTGTACCCCAAAGTCCACATATTGGAAATGTAATCCCCAATGCAACCATGTTGGAAGGTGGGCCTCTTAAGAGGTGCCTAGGTCATGAAGTCTCTGCTCTGATGAATAAATTAATGCCCATATCATGAGAGTGAGTTAGTTATCATGAGAGTTGGTTTGTTACAAAAGTGTTTTCAGCTCTTGCCTTCTTACACTCGCCCTCTCTTGGCCATCTGCCACCTCCATGGGATTATGCAGCACAAAGGCCTTTGCCAGATGTCAGCATCATGCTTTTGGATTTCTCAGACTCCAGAACCATATAAGCAAATAAATTTCTGTTCATTTGAAATTATCTAGTCTCAGGTATTTTGTTACAGCAGCAGAAACAGACGAAGACAAGTAGAAACACTAGGTTGGACATCTCTTGTCACTGAATGTTAACTGCACTGAGAAGTATTAAGCCAAGATCCTCTTTATACATCTATTGCAAAAAGCAACCACGTGCTGCTGCTTTCCTTCCCTCATTTCTTGCTATGTCCAGTTAGAGCTTTGGATGTTAAAATATACCATGAAAGTTGCAATTACCTCCAACAGATCTTCTTGAACCCAGACTCTCCCCAAACCCTAACCTATTCCACTATAAGAAGACTGAAATACATACATTTACAGGCCCCTTAAGTTATGATATCTTAGAATTCTCTGATATTATAATTCTGATAATCTGCGTTTTTAAGATTCCAGATATAATTCTATATTGAATCTCCCTGATAACCTAAAATTCCAGGGGCCTTAAATTAAATTCTAAAGCCTTTGGAGTCCAGAATTCTAAGTCTGACTTGAATTAAGGTTACATAATAGTGATAATTCAAATTTTCACTGTCTTCTGCCCCAAGATCCCGAATTCCCAACAGGTATCTTTGACTTCTCTTGAACACATCTGGCCAGCTAGAGGGCAGCACTTTCTGCTCCTCTCTGCAGTTTCTGCCCTTCCCTTCTCCTGCCAGGTCTACTGTCCACTGCCAAGCACCACTTGGCCACTCCCCACCCCCACCAAATAACTAGACATGTTCAGCCTTCTCTGAACCTCAATAGTAGACAGAGACCTAGACTCAAGCCAAACTCCTCATTTCCTGATATCCTCATTTCATATCTTAGTACTCCTTATTGCAAAGTTTCAGATTGTTTAGAATTCCAAGTTTCTCACAATCTACAATCTGAATATTCTTGGACTTTAATCATGTAGGCTTCTGAGATCTTTAGATTCTGAAATACTGTGATTCTAAGATAGTGGGAGATGCCAGAGTATCTGCTACCAGGTCTTGAAGGTTCTAGAATGTAGGAAGCTGGAGGCTGGTTGTGAGCAAGGCTGCAGGAGGGACTATATGGAAGGAGCATTGTGGACCCAGGATGGACAAAGTGCAATCAAGCTTTTTTGTATATGCCCAGAGCGTTCACACCCAGTGGTTTTCCCAGACCCTTGGCAAGTGAAGACCAATTTAACAGTCTCCAATCAAAAATGTGTTATTGATTTTACAAGTAACTATAAATAGCAAACTAAAACTGAGAGTTTATGCCAATGAGGTAGCTCCAAGTTATTAAAGCTGTCCATGGTTGTACATTTGGGCACTTCTCTTGGGCTGAGGGTGGACCCGGAACCTCTTGCAGGCCTGATTCTAGCAACACACATCCCAGAGTTTGGAGTTCTGGAGGCTTGACCCTTCCCAACTTGGCAACAGACACCTCTGGCTGTGGTGAGTGGTGAGAAGGCACAGTAGACTTCAGAGCAGTGGAAGTGATTTAGGCCTGTGTCAGGAAACGGGGGCCCAGCCCAAATCTCAGATTTCATAAGAAGCCCAGAAGGCTGGCAGAAATTCTGAGCCCAACACATCCCAGAGCCAGGAGCACCATGTGTAGCCAGAAGCAGCAAAGTCCCAGCCTGAAGGAAATTGAGGGCAGAAAGAGAAGTTTTTCTGTTATAACAGGGCTGGGCCTTCAACAAAAATGTCTCCAATAAACTCTCTGGTGCTATAGAGAAGTTTTGACATGTACCTTTATCAGCCAATCAGCTGACTTTATTAAATCCCTACTAAGTGACAGTCAACATAGAGTACAGCAAGATTTCCTTCTTGAAGATCTCACCCAAGCGACTGCCTCAAATACAGCCATCATCAGCCTGGTCTTCAAGTCTTTGACAACCTGACTGGCATCCCTCTCCAATCTCACATTCGAGCTCTTTCCTTTGGGAGCCCCCCTGGCTCCCCTAGTATCCCATATCTCCCCAGCACATTCCTCTCTGTTCCCTTAACTGGAATGTCCAGTCTTACTTGTGGTGGTCACACACTCAACCTTCGAGCAGAGGTCAAATGTCTCCAAATTCTTCTCCAAACCTCCAGATGCTGGAGATGTATTTCTTTTTTCTACTTAACACACCAACTTAGAGTCTTCTATTGAAATGTCAACCTCCCTTTTCCTAAATCTGCATGCTTAGCCCCTCACTTGGGGCCTAGAACAGTATTTCATTTAGGATATCTGCAGACATCATGGAGTGGGAAGCAAGTCTGAATAAAGTAGAAAGATCTGTTCAGCTCAGTGAAAGCAAGGTAACATCTAAAACAGCAGCAGGAGAAAAGCTGAAGTGAGATGTGAGAAGAGATGGTGATGGGCTTTGTCCCGCTGGTTTCTCCCTCACTCACAGGTGATCGCAGGCCGATTATTCAACCTCATTTTCCTCCTCTGTGAAATGAAGATGGCTGTGAGGGGTAACCACATTCACAGCCGTGAAATACTTAGCACGGTGCCTAGCACACAATATACATTTGAAAGATAATGACAGTTGTGATTAAGAGAGATATTAAAAAGAGTAGTGAGGGTCTCAACAGCATCACTGTGCAGGTATGAGGAAGGCAGTCTTGCTATCCAGATTGAGTTAGGCAACATAGGTTGGCTTCAAGTAGACATTGAGGCTTCCCCATTCACACCAATATTACTCCATCCTGACACCTACATAGATAAAGGTCAAGTGCACTGTTGAGCCCCAGAAAGTGGGGAAGAGTTCTCAGAGAGCTGGAGAAAAGTTGGGGCTGTCCATCCAGTCTGTTTGGGATTTAATTCCTTCTCGGTCTGAGTCCTGAGTGTCTGTCTCTGTGTCTATCTATCTGCCTCTTTATCTCTGGACCTGAGCAGAAAGATTTCATTCCCTTAGCTCTCCTTTTCTTATATTTGTCTTTTTGTTAATTCTCCATCTCGCTCTTCTGTCTTGATGACATGGCTAACAGCAGAGTGTAGGGCAAAGGACATCACATGGGGCAGGGGAAGGCCTGGTTCCAGACCAGGATCTGCTGTGACTTCTGGTGTGATTCTGGTGTCACTTACCCCTCATGAATCTATGTCCCTTCCTCTTAACAGTGAAGACATGAGCCTGTGTTTTGCTCGTCAGCCCTTCTGATTCTGTACAACTCAGTGGAAATGTTCTCTCCTTCTTATGCAGAGAACTTGGATCCATTCATCCCTCAGTCACTCTTCACTGAGCAGAGATCAGATGTTAGGCATTTTATACTAGAACCGAGGATCCATCCGGGGGGCAACAAGCCCAAGTGCCGGCCTCCAAGGAGCTCACATTCAAGAGAGTCTTAAGGAGGATTAGATGACAAATCCATGACTTCCCAGTCACAGATGGCTGAAGGGAGGAGAAAGCCCTGTGTACTGAATGCCTCACAGGGCCAGACAGTGTACTAGACACAGTGGCCTACATCCTCCTGACTGGTCCTGTCAATCAACTTATGAAGAAGTATCATTGTTTCCATTAAGAAGAGGAAAATGAGGCTCATAGCCATTTGAACCTGGTCATTATCACCCAGCTAGATGTGATAGAAATGAGTCTTATACCATGCCCAGTGTCCTCATCACATGAGCACACTCCCCATTTTCTCTTGACTCTGAATCTAGAGGTTCAGGTAAACCAAGAGAACAAATTCCAGACCCCACTTTTTCTGGAAGAGCCTCCACGGCAATGCCTCTGGCCTTGGCTCAGATTCTTGGGGCATATGTGCTTCAATTTATTCCAGCTCCCTCCTTCTGTCCCACCGGCTCTGCAGGGAGAGCGGTGAGATTTGTAGCTGGATTCTGCCCTTCTGACCCACAGTCCTATAAAATAACAAGCAGGAAAGAAAGGGGGGCACAAAACTAAAAACTAAACACTGATGAAGATTAGAAATGACTAGGGAGTCTTGGGGATTTATGTCTCATGAAGTGAGATGGCCAAGGAGGCCAGACAGGGAGCAGCAGCCCTGACGCCTCTGCCTTATGGATAATTTATTCCAGAGCGTAGAGGCCTCTGTTTGAGACTCACACACAGGCCAGGGTGGTTCCCTGGGTCCCCCATCCCAGTGTCTGAGGAGAACCAGGCTGAGTCACAAGTTTTGTTTTCCCAGACCAAACCCACACGTTTGACACTTCGACACTCCTTCCCACATCCTTGATCCCGTGGAGATTCATCTTACACTCCCCGTGAGGCTGGCAGGATGGGGACCCTCATTCTTGCTGGTCAGATGAGAAAAATTGAGGCTGACAGAAGGTGACTCATGCTGGATTGCCCGGGGAATCGGGACTCTGAAGTGTGGCTGACTGATGTTATTGCCCCCACAGATGCCTGTTTCTCTCCTCATCCTCCTTCCTCGGCTCCTAACCAGCCCCCAAATTAATGTTGTTCAGCCAAGGTATGAATCCAACAAACCTTCAATATTTACTAAGAACTACTGCAAACAAAGAGAACCAAATACAGATGAGTCAACAAATGAACATTTTTTTAAAAATGTGTTATTGGTGCTGACAAGGGGTCATGTCAATCAAGGGTCTCTCTCCAATACAATAATCAGCAAGATTTTAAAAAGCAGGGGGAAAAAAATAAATAAAAGCTTTGGAAAAATACTAGGAGGGGAACTCATGATGTGGTCAAGCACAAGACAGACTATTTGCTAGGTTCTTCCAAAGCCATTCACCAGGCATGGTGAAGGCTTTTGCCCTAAATGACATCCCATTGAAAGAGGTGTGGATAGGAACAGGCTTGAAGATTAATAAGTAGCTGACAGTCACACCCGAATTTGACACAGAAGTTCAAGCTGTCTGTGTGGTAGGCACTCAAACATCAGGCTATCCACCAACCACAGAGGGAAAACCTCAGTCTTTATGGTAAGATAAGAAAAACTCGGGTTTTAGAATCCTATTAATGCAATCTTCAATTCCAACTAGTTGTATGCTTACAGTTACTTGCTTAGCCTCAGACTAGTTTTCTCATCCATTAAATGAAGATAGTAATATCTACCTCGAAGGTTTGCCTTGGGGAGAAAAACAGCACACAAAGCCAATCTCAAAATTTAACTACATTAGTCCAGATATCATGTGAGGTCCCCAGATAATGGATAACACACCCCAAGTGCAATGCAAGACCACCCTGTGAGGACGGCAAAGGTGGTGCTAAAAACTGCTCTCGTGGTTCCTTGCTGACCACCCACCTCCGGCATATTAAAAAGGTGGGAGAGGCCAAGGACTCAGTGGGGGATTAGATATGGGATTTCTGGAAAGAGCTGTAAGTACATGGTGCCTCTCTGTCCACTTCCTCCCTTAACTCAAGCCTGGGAAAAGTGGTGGTAATGGAATCGTTGGATAGCTTGATGTTTTCCCTGTATTTGGGAGATACGATGGACTGGAATCTGACTCCCACAGCTAAATATAAAGGGTTAGAGGGGAGCTGGCCATCTGTTCTAGCAGCAGAGTAAAGGGAGGTTGCTGCAAAGGGGAAACCTGCATCCTCAGAGTTGATCAAGGCAGAAAATGCAGAAGCATTTTTTGAAAACCAGATCTGGACCCCACAAAGAAGAAAATGGCCTAGGGTTAGGGTTAGGCAGAAACAGGGGACTAAAAAAAAAAAGATAAAGAAAGAAATCAATTAGAGGGAGAAAACAACTGAAGAATAAATAATCATCTTAAAACAGTCACTGGGAGAGGCAAAGGAGAGAGTGGGGAGAGAAGGGGAGAGAGGGTTCTGCTTAGGCAACTCACTTGCTCGCTGGTTTTGTGACCTTGGACAGATGGCCTAAGCTCCCCAGGTCCCTGTTACCCTGGCTGCAACACGAGAGGACAGCTAACCACTGCTAGGAGTCTCCATTCAGGCCAGCTGAGAAGACCAAGTGGAATATCATGTGATAAAGTGATTTGACTTTTACAGAGCACTGTCCGAATATAAAGCTGTGGAGTTATCCCCAACACCTGGACCAAGGTCTGTGAGTGTCCCTGAGCCAAACCTGACAAGGGGACCTTCAGGGTGGCATTGGGAAAAGACTTCCCTTAGCTCTCAGCTCTTGAAGGAGATCTGAGACACCGGGATGTGGGTGGGAATCAGAGTGTTGGGCATATCTAATGTGTGTCAGCGCATCCACACCCTTGAGTGTGTGCAGCTCATAGTTGCATATTACGGATATAACATGTATAAATGCCTGCATCATTGGGAGGAGGGAGAGCATTCATTATTCATTCCACAAATGTGTTCTTAGGACTTTTTCTGCTCTGGATGCTAGGGATTCAGTGGAATAAAACAGACTTAGTTTTCATATATATGTGAGGATGTTTAGAAAAGAGAAAAGCATGAGTCCTTATGAAGCAATATTTGCACGTGTACATAAGAATGTGTGCATGAAAATACTTGTTTGAACATACAGGAAGTATGTACTTGTACAAAATTTGCATATGAGTGCTTGGGTATCTGCATATTTGTGTATATGTGTGAATGTGATGAGAGAGAAAAAGAGAAAGAATTCCCAGTCACCCAGGAGGGCATCAAATTTTGTTAAAATGCCTGAGAGCTGAAAGGCCCTTCCTTAATCTAGTTGTGCTGCTATAAGAAAATGCCACAGACTGGTAATTTATAAAGAAGAAAATTTTGTTTCTTATGGTTCTGGAAGCTGGAGAGTAAAACATGAAGCCAACACTGGAGTCTAGTGAGGGCTGCTCTCTGCTTCCAAGATGGCACCTTGTTGTTGTGTTTTCACGTGGCAGAAGGCAGGACAAGACAGCGGTCCCTTCAACCTTGAGCCCACTAATCCTCTTCATGAGGACAGACCTCTCCTGACTTAATCACTCACTTCCCAAAGCCCACACCTCTTAACACTATTACATTGAAAATTAAGTCCAACATGAACTTTTGTTTTGTCTTGTGTGGGGGATTGAACCCAGGGCCTTGCATGAGCTAGGCAAGCACTCTACCACCGAGCTACACCCCCAACCCTCAAGAGGAATTTTGGAGGAAATGCCATCATTCAGACCACAGCAGGCCCTGAGAGATCATCTAGTTCAATCCTAGACATCCCAGATAGGGAACCCAAAGCCCAGAGAAAGGGCCAGAAGATGACCCAACAGACAAAGGAGTCCCATATAACTATTCATCAGCTGATTGGAACCCAGGGACCTTTTTCTGATGCACATGCAAATGCAAACGTACATGTAAATTAAGGGGCTTCAGGGAAGAATCTAGAAGATAGAGTGGGAAGGCTGGCCTGGCTGAACTCTGGAACCTCCTGAAGACCACCACAACAGGAGGATTTGAATAGGAGAGTGGAGGGGTCAGCTTTTTGTTTATGTGTGTCCTTTTGTGGTGGACAAAATCAACTGGAGCAAGAGATACTGCAGGAGAGAGATCTAAGGGGAGGGGGTCCATTTGAGAGGGGGTAAGGCCTGAATTAGGGAGGGGTAAAGAAAGGAAGGGATGGACAGGAGAACTCTTCTACCCTCACATCAGAGTCTTTCACATCTATTAGGATGTAGAGGGTGAATTCACAGTTTTTTAATCCTTTATAAAATGAGAATTTCCCCTAAACCTAGGAATAAGTACAAGCCCGAGAATTGTAACAAGCATCCCATTAAAACCTCACAACGGCCTGTGAAGTGGACAATATTTTCCCCCTGTTAGTGATGAGGGTGGCTTCCACTGTGGCACAGAGTGGGAGGTAACTTCCCAAAGACACACAGCCTGACTCAGACAGATCTAAGATAAGTCCTAGATCTCATTTCCTTCAAGCTGAATAATAAGTCAGTGATCACTTATTGATTATCTAGGTTTTGCCAGGAACCGTGCTTCCCACTTTATGCATGTTACTTTGTTTCAGTCTTTCAGTGATCATTTCTCCATTCCTCAGATGAGAAAAATGAGATTTGGCTAAGCGTACACAGCTGGTTCAATTTGTACCTGAATCCGGTTCATCTGATTTCAGTGCCCATACTCTTTCCATGATTCTGTTTCCTTCCAAATCAGGAGAAATGAGTTTACAACACAGCCTAGGAGGAAATGAATTTAGGAGCTCCCATCCCTGGAGAGTGTACAACACTTACAGGCTGGTTCAAAAAGATTTTGTCAAATGCCTAGGTGACAAGCCCATGGTGGGAATTAAAGGGTCCCGTTCCTAATCCTCAAAAGCCACATAAAGGAGGTCAGATTGGGCCTCTTTCAGGAAACAAGGCTGGAAGTCAAGACACATCAGACACCCTATCATCGCCATTGTGAGGCTCAGACAGGACCCCATTGGTACTGGTCCTCTGAGCTCCAGTCCTCTGGGTCCAGTGCTTTTCCTTCAGTTCCAGACTTGTTCCCCTTATGCTGGACAAAGGCAGGTACTAAGGCCTTCATACTTCACCACCAGCCTCAGTCAGATGCTCTGGGTGAGGTGTCAGAATGAACGGGGTTGACACCACTACCCTCTGAGCTTTTAGCTCCAAGATTGGCCACTTTGATAGCCTGAGGCCATGCCAGCTCCAATGATATTCTTCTCTTCCCCAGCAGCTTATCTGCCAAGACCCAAACATGCCTTTGATCAAGTTTACCCAATTTACCATACTTGAGCTCATTTCTTCTGACTTGTGGGTCCCAGAGTCTCTACCTTCATCCCACCCTAATCCCTGAAACTAATTCCTGGCCCCACTTGAAAGGCCTTTCAGACTGAGTAACAGTAATCATCTACCCCAAATGCGTTGACATCAAGACCCCACGGGCAATTATTTCCTGACCAGGAATTGCCATCAGAGAGTCCCATAAGGACTCTGTTCACTGCCTCATCAAGGTCTCTCTAAAGTCCACTCCAAAAAACACAGTCATCCGAGAACACACCCAAGAAAGTGGTCAGGAAGCAACCAGTCTTCTGAATTATTTACTGTCCTATGGAAGCCAGCCAGCAGATGCCGGCCATGCAGATTCTGGGAAAATATTTATGTGGGTCCTGATGGATGTTTGGCCAGGAAAGAGTGCTTGCTGTCATCTTTTCTTCCTGCTGATAAGGCAGAGCTACACATGTCAGACAGCTCTTAGAAGCGCCCAGCAGCTGAGGCCTGGCATCCGATCAGAGCCGGGTACATGGCTGCCGCCTTCGGTTCCAGTCCTGTCTCTGCTACCAGCTGGTTCTACCCCTCCCAGGGTCTCAGCTTCTCCATCTGTACCATCACAGAATAGACTGGATGACTTTAAGGTTTCTGTGATCTTATGATATTGTGATTCAGACAGTCAAATGCATTTTCCAGATCTGCCATCACGATGCCATTGGTTCATCACAGAGTTATTTTTCTTGGCATTCTGGAAACGTTCCTGAAATTCCAGCATCCTAGGATTTCTCTTTCCACTGATTCAGTTTCTGTAACCAGATGGGAGAAATCCATCTGAGGGAGAAAAAGTCTGTGCTTAAAATAAAAGGGCAATATAGAATAGGGAAAATTGAGTTCAAGCAGTGTTTATCATGCACCAAATATTTGCAAAGCTTGATGCTGAGTCTAAAGGGGATAGAGAAGAGCCTCGTGTCCTGTCCTCTAAGAGCTCACAATGAGGCAGTGTTGAGGGTGGCCCACAAGGCTCCCCTTATTCCCAAATTGCTTCTTGTGTTTACTCCTTCTTGTAAACCCCAGCAGCTCTTCCTACCACCCTCCTCAACTCTGAAGAAGAAATTCTGTCCTTGTCCATGATCATCCTGGGCTCCTTTCTGAAACAAGTTTGGGCTGCCCCAGCTCCTCAGCTTCTATAGACAGATCCTTCTCCATTTTTGAGTTTATAGCTAGTCCCTTTGAAGACCCACCTGAAATTACACTCATGGATATGGACATAGGACGAAGGTGCCAAAACTCCCCCAGAGTCCTGCTGTATATTGTCTCAGGGATTTCTGACACCTTCTCAAAAGCTGAGGGTCACCTCAGGACCTCTACCTACCTCAGTTCCCCTGAGCAGGGAGCTCCCCTGGCCTCCATCTCTCCTAAGACCTGATCTTCTCTAGGAAGCTTCCATATATCAATTTGAAGGGGTGATCTTGTTGTGGTGTCCACAGAGAAATCGGAATTTGAGAGTCTTCTGGGCTGGTGAGTCCATTCAATGGATATTTCCCCAAGAAAGGAAGAAGAATAAGTCTGATTAAGCCAGGCATCCTCTCAGTTAATCCAGTCTGAAGAAATATTCTGTGGACAACCTTCTTCTCCATTCAACAGATACTCAACACCTATTCTGGGCTGAACACTGTACAAGGCACCATTGAGGCATTATATAAAGATAGACAAAGCCCTACCCTCTCCACCTGCCCCAGGTGCCTGAGATCCTCAAACCATGGCCTAGAACCTGACCAGCCAGGCTGATGGCCCCTTCCATCTTGTTTCCTCATCACAACATTCTCCCAGTCACCTGCCTCCCCCATGGAATCATGGCATCACAGGAGATCAGAGCCAGAAGGGCCCTTAGGAACCAGACAAGGTATGGAATCAATGAGAATGGAGTTGTGAGATACAGGTAAAGCATGGCCTCCATTGAAGGCCCCACCTGGAATGCCATGCCCTGCATGGTCAAACCACGTGGCCAGAGATCACAGCTTGAAAAACTCTGATAGTACCATCGTGTCTTTTTATAGCCAGGATATAGAATTATATTCAGATTGGTTTAATTCTAGAGTAAATTTGTCCAGCACCTAGGTACTCAGTTGTTAAAAAAAAAAAAAAAAAAGTCATGTCAAGGAACCAATGACTGATATTGTTATATTGTTGTTGTGATTAGCTATAACAAGTAATCATCTAGTTCCTCCACCACCACCAGGGAAGTTACATTTTAATATTCCTTTTTCATCCAAGAAGAAAAATAGCTTAAACGCCAATGATATGCTATTGTTCTAGGGTAATAAAAACCATGGCATTCCATGAGAACCAGAAGAAGCTACACCTGATTTCACCAGTGGGTTGTAGTAGGGAACTGGAAAGGCTTCTCAGGAGATGGACTTGAAAGACAGGTGGAAATGCACCCAAAGTAAAGGGAGCGGAGCCCCAGTGTGCCAAGCTAATGGGGCTATCAAAGTCAACTTGTGTGTGTGAAAGGCAGTTGATGGGTGGGGAGAAGCAGGAGATGCAGCTGAGAAAGGAGGGGACGCTACAGAGTGAAGGGCCTTGAGCATGAGGAAAGGGGTCCCTACTTTCTACTTCAGGCCCAGGGATCATCAAAGTTTGCCAACAGAGAGGCAACACCTTACCCAAGATGACTCTGAGCATAAAGAAATGACTGTATCCCAGGGACTCCTTGTGATGTTAGGAATGACAATAACTCCTCCCATATGACCGTCCTTCTTATTAATTTCAAAATAAAAATCCTTCAGGCAAATTAATCTATTCCTAAACATCAGTCTGGTGAGCTAGATAACCTTATCCCTCTTTTACAGAAGAGGAAGGCAAGGCTCAAACTCACATATATCTGTCCACTCCATGCCCAGGGCTGTTCCTCAAGAACACCTCTCCAGAGACTGAGCATCCAGTGCACAGTGGAGCCTGGATTCCTGCCGTGGCTGGGAGTCTGGACCAGCTACTCTCTGAGTCTCATCTAACATTGAGAATGTAAACTTCTGCAAGTCAGCGGCAGGGCTAATGGTGGGAGCCGTGGGTGGTCAGGAATGTTTCAGGACTTCCTGGGCCCAGTGTTCCAGGTCAGAGTGCCTGGATTAATGATCCATCTCCAGGCAGAGTGAGCCAAGGCCCTGACGCCAGGCACTGGGCATCGATTAGACTTTACACTCTGAGTTTGCTTTCATCTAAGGCTCTCCAGGTGGGCTGCAACCTAATAATTAACATTCTCTGAGCCCCACAATATAAGTGAGCTGGAAGAGGGGAGAGTCTCTGATGGTAGGAGAGGAGCCCCCCAAAGCTTAGCAGTGGCCTGGGCAGACAAGGCTGTTGTCCACCAACATGCTCATGCTGCCTGGAGTTTGTAGTGAGTGGATCTGAGTCTTTATCTTTGAGATTCAAAACATTTCTATGGAGAAGTAGCACAAGGATTATTACCCTCAATGAACGAGATGGGGAAACTAACATCTGGAGCAGGGCAGAGGACTATCCAAGGGCAGAAGGCAGGGATAGAACAGCCCTCCACATCCTCCCAGTGCAGACAGCTGTGCCGACACTCCTTGAGGTGAAAGGACATAGTGGTGTGATCTGATTTTTATTTGACAAGAGAAATCATTACAGAGGTGATCTGCTATTCACACAATGGTTTAACAAATGCTTACTGAATACATACTAGTATGTTCCAGCTGCTGTGCTCTGTGCTGGGGGATAGCCAAACAAGGTCCCTGACACCATGAGATTATAGTCAGGGAGGAAGGGAATGTGGTAGGGGACAGATGGATAAGCGAATGCTCTGTTCAGTGAGATGTCATTGCGCTTTAAACAGTGATCATGGACAGTGTGTCTGATAGCAAGTGAATTTAATTGTGCCGAGTACTTTGGGCACAGGGTGTCAAGGAGGAAATGAGTAAGTCTATTTAGAGGAGAAAGATACTGGTGGGAGTGGGGATGTGACTGGAAAAGTCTTCACAGGGAAGATGTCTTCAAGATGGAAATTTAAAAGAAGGATGGGAATACATCTGACAAGTGGGAGGTGGAGAGTAGGATGGGATAGTCCAAGGAAAATGCTGATGTAAGCAAAGAGAGAAAGGAATGGAGGCCCAAGGTTAACTGAAAGCCATTGAACGGGCTGCAGAGTAGGATATGAGGACCATGGAAGATGAGGCTGAAGAAATGAGCCAGGAACAGAACACAAAGCACCCCCAAGCCAGAGTGAGGATCCTGAACTTTATCCTGAAGCAGTCCAGTCAACATTGCACTGTAGGAAGCTCCCTCCTGCTGTCACTGAAATAGGGAGATGCTGAAGCAGACTCCATGTGGGAGGTAAAAACTGGCAATGACCTGCTTTGATCGATTTTAGCCACAAGACACACACACACACACACACACACACAAATTCATCTGTTCTGGAAAAGTCCATGTCTTAGGAATTTCCCTATTATAAGAAAGTGGCTCTCAACTTATGCCACGTTCCTTGGATCTGGACCCATTCCACCTTCCTCAGGTTTGAGAAGAAATCGCAGTATTCTTATCTCTTTTAAAAAATATATATATTTATTTTTTAGTTGTAGGTGGACATCATACCTTTACTTTATTTTTATGTGGTGCTGAGGATCGAACTCAGTGCCCCATGCATGCCAAGTGAGCGTGCTACCTCTGAGCCACAACCTCAGCCCTTCTTATCTCTCTTTATATTATAGAATTTCTCCTGCCACTTCGTCTGCTTCTGCAGGAATGTATTTCCCTACAGTAGGCTTCCCGCTGCCATCAGCACATGGTGGCAAAGCCCCACACCTTCAAGCCTTCTATCTCAAAACTCAAATGACTCCATATTATACGACCTGCCCTTTTATTTTTTCTGTGAACTGGGAATTGAACCCAAGGTCACCCTACCACGGAGTCACATCCTTTATCCTTTTTATTTTTAATTGAGGCAATGTCTTGTTAAATTGCCCAGGTTGGCCTCAAACTTGTGATCTGATTCTCTTGTTTCAGCCTCCCAAAGCAGTGGGATTATATGCATATGCCATTGGGCCCAGCAAAAGAAAGGTTACCCAAGAGGAGAGCAGAGCTGCCCTTTGCATTCAAAATCAGGTATGGATTAACTGAGCATCTGCTATGTTTCAAGCATTGCAAGGTCTTGTGGATTTGGCCTCTACCTTTACTTCATTAACCACTGGTTCAAGTCCAAAGTCTTGGCCCAGCATTTCAGAACATTAGATGGACCTCAGCCAACCTCCATGACCTTCTATTCTTTCCTCCCTCAACACTGTATTTGTCACATTGAGACATTTGTTGTTCCCTAAAATTCAAAATAGAAGTATCTTTTTATTAAAATGCCAGTACATATACATTCTAATTCACACAATACCAAAAGTAGAATAGGAAGTAAAATTTCTCTTCCATCCCTCCCTCCCATTACCCTTCAAACCCCATTCCCCAGAAATGAGCATTATTAACATTTGGGTAAATATCTTTTCAGATTCCTTAAAAAGCTTTCTCTGTCTTCACACAGCACCTTTTACAAACTCTTACCTATCCTTCAAGATTCATTATGGTGCTGGACGTTTTCTGTGTTTCTACAGAGGCTGATCCTTACAGAAACTTAGCATTTGCCACTCTGTATTGAAATCACCTATTATCACATGCCGTGCCTCCATCAGGCTGTGTGTCAGACTGTGACCTAAGAAGATAATCTCTGTGAAGACAAGGTGGCAACAGCCTTGGTCACAGCTATTCATAGTGCCTAGCATGCAATAGAGACCCTCAGTAAGTATCTATGGACTGCATGGATGGATGGATGGATGGATGGTGGCACTCCTGTGGAATTTTCAGCAGGATATACAAAGGAAACAGTGTTGGCATTGAGTAGTGGGAAGGACCTCAGCAAGGGGTTAAGGACCTGGGCTCCTGTGCTGGCTCTACCTCCTACTTGCTGTGTTGCCTCATGCAAGTTACTCACCCTCTCGAACATTCCATTTCTCTACCTGCAACTGAATAGTGGGACTGGGTAGTTCCCTAAAACCCTCCCCAGCGGATGCTCCAGAATGCTTAGCTGGCCTTGGCCCAGCACCCCTATTTCACACCTCTGTAATTACCCACCTGCATGCCTTTTATTATAGAGATTGGGGAGGGGGCGGGGCTCGTTAAATAAAGGGCAAAAGGAAATTGCTGGCTTGCCAAAATGACATTGCTGGCATTAACTAGATTAACTTCTGAAATGAAAAGCCCACAAAAGCAAAACCAAAACAGAGAAGGAGCCATAGCTTCCGCTGGTGGCTTCAAGATGGCCTGCTTCAGCCTGCCTGACCTCCAACCCAATCCATCCTCACTGGGGAGGTCATGAAAACCACTCTCCTTCCTCCCCAGGACTTCAGCTCAGCTCAATCTCAAGAAAATGGTCCTGACTCTGGCCCAGAGATCAGGACCTAGGAATGGCTCATAGAGCTTCCAGTCTGTAAGAGAGATGGGCAGGATAATAGACAACATGCAGAGCTATGGAAGCTGTTACAGGGAAGCCAAGGACTGGCTGTCCTCTGGGTCTAGAGATCCAGGGCACTGGGCCCTGGCTTGAGTGATGAGCTTTTCTCTAGACAAAGTTCTGGGCAGGGCACTCCAGGCATAGGGGAAGAAGAGGAAGACCTGAGATATGACAGGGGACAGCAAGTCCAGGCAACCATGGTCAGTCCCACGTGGTTAGAGCAGGAAAGGGCTAACTCTATCCCATTTGTGTGACTCCTCCTGGCTGTGGCCCTTGAGGCAAAGGGTACAACATTGCATCAGCCTAGAAGGAGAATTGAACCACTGCATGTCCACCCCAAGCCAGGGATGCCAACCCAGAAGAGCATCCATTAGGCAGCAGCAGGAGGGAATTGCTGCCGTTGCCAGCGGATGCTGACACAAAACAGAGGCAGGAGACTGTGACGGACTCCACCAGAGACACTTGCTCATCTCACAATGTTTGCAATCATGAGAAGAGGCAGGAAACTGGAGGCGGATTCAGCTTTGCTCAAGGTTCCAACTGACTTCAGAAGCAGAAAAGAGGTAACCCCGTGGCCTGGCTAACTACCCATCTCATGGAGAGAGAATCCATCCTTGTAAGAATCCAGAATCAGAGAGCAAAATTCTCCACCCCGTGTAAACCAGGGATCTCCTCTACCTCCCCACACAGGGCAGGCTACACCCCTGAGAAGGAAGAAAAATGGGGGAAGAAGCCCTCTCTAGTTCATGCCTCTGTAGGAGATCAGATAATTTACTTACACTTTCTCATTTCACCCTCAGAAGTATCTAGAGAGAGAGCTTATTATCTCCACTTGGTAGAATAAGAAACTATGGCTCAGAGAAGCATTTCCAAGTCCTCGAAGCTAGTGACCCTCAGAACTAGACTTTGCCCCAAGGTCTCCCCAGCTCCAAATCTGTGTCTTCACCACACACATCCCTGCCATCCCCAATTCTGGCACACAGGACACATAAACATCTGGTTTGTCATCAGCTTGCTAACCTTCAACTAAAAATCCTAACTCTGATCATGACTCTGATCTTCTGGACACCAGAGCTGTCAGATCAAGAGCCCAAGGAGTATTCTAAACACAATTTATATTGCTAGCTCCCTTGAACAGGGGCATTTTTAATGTCCTTCTTTGGAAGAGTAGCAATTCTAATGACACAATTCCAAGCAGAGGAAAGAAGAGATGCCTTGAGATAGAAGGCCATTCCTGCACCCTTTAAGCCTTGCCCATCTGCATATGAGGCACACCTGAACCTGGAGGCCACCTACACTTGCATGGGTCAGCCCTGGTCAGGATCACTAATGCCAGACGGGTGACCAAGTATTAATCATTGCCAAAGGAACAGTTAAACTGAAAACCAGTTCATTAAAAATTAAGCTTCATCTCTATAGCCCTCAGGGACAGGGAGCTTTGGGTAGAGAGCCAGGTCCTGCTCTGAGAGGTCACAGGCTATGAAAGAAATCTTCCCAGAGAGCCTGAAGTAAGGAGCCAAGTGTCCTGGGTTCCAGTCCTGGCTCCGCTCTCAACCCACTGGGTGACCTTAGGCTGGGCAATTTCCCACCTGAGCTCCTACTTTCCCTAAGATAGTTGGAGAAATCTCCACCGGGCTTGTTGCAGTGCTCTAGCATACATTGCCCTGAGAGGAGTCTGTGTGTGTTTACCTTTCTAAATCCAGAGTCACACTGAAGCCCCAAGCTGTCCAGCACAAGTTTTGCTTACTGTTCACAATCTTTGGGGTAATGAAAAGTTGGCAGCAAATCACAACTCTACCCCGAGACTGGAGTGCAAGGACTCAGACCTTTCCTCCTTGCTCCCCATATGAGACAGATAGTATTGCTGACCCCAGACATGTCCTCTTTGCTCTCTGAGACACAAGACAAATCAGGAGCAAGGTCCTCTGAGCTCCTTCATCCACAAGAATCAAAATTGTTCTATTCCTGGCACTACCCTTTGGATCATTCCATCCCAATGGGATTTGGTAAACTGAAGCTTTGCAAGCCTAGTGAAGATATGAAACATTCACAAGTTTTGATCCAATACCAAGGCAATGATGCAATACATAATGAACCAATCTATGAATGGAGAGCGAATCGTCCTGTAACCCCTGACACGCACTGTGAATGTCAGTGCTCTGGGGGTGAGCCCAAATGGAAATGTCACCACATGCATCCTGGTTTGCAACCAGCAATTTCTATTAAGGTGGGATAGCTGAAGACAACAGTGGTTAATAACGATAAGTTTTAAAATATTGAGGCAGTAAGGTGAGGGAGGGAGGGAGGCATTTGAAATTGGCAACTGAATCTCGCCTCTCTCTCTCTCTTTTTTTTGTTGTTTTTTTGTTTGTTTGTTTGTTTGTTTTCTGTTATTCTTTAAGCAAGCTCTTCATGAAATGAATCTAATCCATTAACGAATCTGTCTGTAGGTGGCAGCACTGGCCCCTTTCACTCCCCAAGGGGGACTCGATTTTCACTGGAGAACAAGTGCTCCTCTGGAGAGCGATGTACCATGTGCTGATGGAATGAGACAAACTAGCTTCAGAACAAATATCCCCATACATTGAAGTTGTGACACATCTGGTGAATTCACAGAACTCCTAAAGCCACACTCCATCCAGAAAATAGACCTTTCTAGGATCTGGCAAGATAGAACAAATCACCATCACTTTCTAATGAGCCAGTGCAAAGTGTCCATGAAATGTGCAGGATGCAAAGAACCCAGCTTTGAAACCCCTGAGCAGGAAAAAAGGCAGACAGGTCCCCCAAAAGACATCAAATTCCTCCCCCAACCTGGGCTGCTTTCCCAGATGTCACCCCAACCTTGTGTTTGTGGTCAGCTCTCTCTGTGCTAAACTGGCTAAGTTCATCATGTCATCTACATGTCAAGTACTTCTGCCCCCTCACTTTACCAAGAGGAAATAGTGGATCCAAGAGGTTAATTTCCCAGAATAGCCAACTATTACCTTGAATAAATGGGCAAACTGAAGAGGGAGGAGATGCTTGTTCAATGTCACCTGCAAATCACTGAGAGAACAGGGCTCTGAGCCCAGTTTGCTGTCCATTGAGTGAAGAGTTTATAGAAGCAGCATAACAATGCAGGGCTTGGGGGAGCAGGACAAAAATGGGGTTCTAGGCTCCCACCCAACAATGCCTTTGGATAGTTTTACCCCACTCTCTAAAAAATTTGGGGGACAGAGTGAGGAACATCCTGCATCTAGTGCCAGTACTGCCCTGAAGAGGCTGTGCAGTCTCAGGCAAATCCCTTCACCCTTCAGAGCACTGCACCCTCCCCCAAGAGGGTGGAGAGTATCTAATGAGATCCTGCCAGGAAAAAAGGCTTTTAAAAGTATAAAAGCACTCTTGGAGGTATTATTATTAATTATTATTATTATCATCATCGTCACCATCTTTCATGGTTATTAATGACCTGTTACCTGCTGGGGATCTGTCAACTAGGAATTTCTTTAAGCCTTTCTTGAACCTGTTTATATTCCCAGTCAGCAGCACCTCCCTTACTTTGATTCCCAACCCCCAGTTCAGGGGGCTGCAGGCAGACTCCTCCACCCAGAGGTCTGGGTTTCAATGGCTTTGTTCAGTCTCTTTTGTGGGTTCCTTCAAGGCCAACCGAGCTCAATGCAATACAGCCTCATTTCCTCTCCTCCATCGCCCCAGTCTGTGTTAGGGATCTCAGGAGGAAGAAGAGGAAGATATAGGCTTTGCTCCCCCATGTCCCCTGAGCCCAGAAGCCCTGGGTGGGATAAGGACAATAAGACCCCTCCTAACTGCCTGTGCTAAGGCTGAGAACAGGGCCCAGAGCCCACTGCCCCAGCGAACACCCAAGGTCCCTAGTGTTCTCCAAGTCCAGAGTCCTGTTCACAGGTCAGGGGGAAAGACCAAGAGCCCATTCTCAAATGTGCTATAAAAGCCAGAGGCATAAACTGAATGCAGCTAACTCTGACACCTGCTATGGCCTGTGCTCTGCAGGTTTCAAGTCAAATTAGACACAATGTGAGCCCTGCCTTCAAGAAGTTCATGTGCAATAGGTGAGGACATGACATAAACACCCTGCAAGGTGGGGTTAGCTAAAGATTTGAACAGAGGATTCATTTAGGGGAAGCCCTAACCACTATTCCTGTCTGGGAAAATATGGAAAGAATTCATAAAGAAGGGACTAAAACGTGGAAAGGAATTTGGTAGGCAGAGAAGAGGGTGAACAGAAGAATTTCTGGAAAAGCCAGACCATGAACAAATTTTGATGGCTATATGGTGTTCAGGGAATAGAGGTGGAGTGGTCAGAGGACACAGAAAACCAGCCAGGGTCCACCAACAAGAGAGAACTTCTGGGTGCACTGCTCTGCCCATCACAGAGGCTGATAAACACCCCTATATCCTGCTTTTCAAAAAGGAACATGTTGACAATTGAAGGTTGGGCCTCATAAGAGAACTCTCTGGCTTCCCTGAGGCAAAGAGACATGTATATGTGACTCTGTCTGTGTTGCTGCTTCCTCTCAAAGGGAACTAGGTGAGAAGATGACAATCCCTTTGGATTTCTCTTGTTGTGGAGAATGCAGAAGACTCTGGGCACAAATATATTTTCATCTTCAGGATAGTGTTGACTA